AGAGAGAGAGAGAGAGAGAGAGAGAGAGAGAGAGAGAGAGAGAGAGAGAGAGAGAGAGAGAGAGAGAGAGTTTGCATTATGTCAATAGATATTCTTTCTCATCATAGTCCAGTCTGCATGAAGATGAATTATCATCATACTTCACAGAACCAGTAAGAAGTAGAAATAAATAGACAAGTATACTTAAAGATATACTGTAAAAACTATCATATACAAAGCTTAAATCTCTCTCATCCAATCCAAAAGGGGAAAGAAATTAAAATTTCCCTCAAACAATAGTTGAACCAACATTCCCCAAATAAAAATATGCCACCTTATTTATCATTGCTTAAATTGAATGTTATGGTCATGAAGCAATTGTAGCATACTTCCCATAACTTGATTTCATTCCTGTCTGAAATTCAGACATTATTTTTCAGAAAGAGATATGGAACTTTAGAAGATTTTTTTACTGTTTCCTCATCAGTTTCTCAGCCCACATATTAGCCAATAGATTGCTCTGATGGAGATCTTCTCTCTTGCTCTGTCTTTCCAAGGTGGAGTTTAAAACTTAGAATTCTTTGCAAGTAGGTTTTCTTAGTTAAGATTTTGATTGTTATGTTGAAATCAAGTTTCCTGTGTCAGTAGAAAATTGCATAGAATTAACACAGTTCTTGGGATTCAGGATGCCCTTTGATGCTGTGTCTAAAGCAATGTTTCTCAACCTTGTCAACTTTAAGATGTGTGGACTTCAGCTCCCAGAATTCCCAAGCTAGCACACTCAGGGGTCTGGATTGGGGTGATTACTTTATCGTGTTGGAGGCTTTTCCTGCCTATACAAACATAATTCATTATTCATGACTGTTGTACCTTTTCTCTTTCCTACACAATCATTTGTCAATCAGTGGCGAGAGCTCTCAGTTAACTGGCAATTAACTGGTCCAGGATGCTAACATGTGTACCATTTGCCACTTCTCCACTACTAAAGATGACCATGATGCCATCTGTTGCAGGCTGATTGCATAGATTGTTGGGTGACCTATGTGAGATGCTGCAAAGACTTGAAGCAATGATCATTAAGAACCATTACTCTCTCCTCAGCTTTCTAGGATTTTTTTTTCTTTTTAAACCTATTGGAGAGGTGCAATTCAAATCATGGATATTATATAGTGATACTGATAAAATATTATCGATAACTTTTGTTTTATGCTAATCAGCTGGGACAGACTTTTGAACAAAAGGCTATGAAGTAGTCCCTCTTATTTGGATTGTCTAAAACAGATTTGGAACAAATATAGAACCCAGAAGATAAAGGTTATGCTAGCAGATTGTTCTGCAGCATTCTATTTCCCATTGTTACAATACGTTAAAAACTAAAGTAAAATAAAAACAGGTGGGACGTAGAGCAAGACTGAACCCAGAAGAGATGTGAACAGAAACACTGAAGCCTTTAGCCAACGAAGTGAGGACTTTAGATTTAACAAATGTTCAACTTTGGGCAGGCAGTAATACAATGGTATGTGAGATGCCCTTAGTAGTTTAATGTATTTATAGATCAATGTATAAGGGATGTTTGTACTCATATTAGAAGCGTGTTAGTTGAAGACATGGATTTTTGTGTAGTTGTATGCAGATTATGCTCTTTTGTTAGCTAAGAACCTGACTTATTCTATATTACTTTTCTGCGGTCCGCATAATGTTAAATGATAGATATAATATACTACGGACCCCGTCTACAAGAGAATTTCATCTGAAGGGGTCCAGGAGGTGAGCCTTCTCTGCAGCAGCCCCTGCCCTTTGGAACACCCTTCCCCCAGAAGTGAGGTTGGCCCCGCCCTCTTGGACTTCAGAAAGAAACTGAAGACCTGGTTTTATTATTATGCATGGGGTGGAGATGGGAATGGTCAGTTTTGGGGCTGGCTGGTTCCGTAGTCCTGCCTGACCAATATTATCTGTTCCCAGGCTGCAACAATACCACCATTGCTTGGATTTTATCATATTTAATAATTGTATTTTACGCTGTATTATTTATGTTTTTATTGGTTTTAAATTGTTGGGTTGTGAACTACCCAGAGTCTCTCCTTGTGGGGGAGATGGTATTACACAAGCTGCTCCCAGGTTCGGGTTATGGTCACTCACTCACACACTCACAGCCTGTTGAGTCACGCGGATCTTGTCAGCCCCCCCTTGCTTTCTACCTGGGTTTTCCAGATAGGTGTGGCTGGAGAAGACAGACATACAGCCCTGGTCAACAGCAGGGAAATAATTAGGGATACAGACAAATCACTTCCAACCGAATACTGAGGCAC